GGTAGCTTCTGACCATCAGCCCGTACGGTGAGGACTGCGGTCATGCGCAATGAATGCATCTCCCCTGAGGAGATCTTCGAGTTTCCACCGCGTTTGGCCCATAAATATAGTTTGGTGGCATGTCGTAGTAGATTCCAGTCTCGTCGACGTTGTAAGTGCACTCCTTCCCGTATGCTCTGTACTGATGATGATACTCAGTTGCAAACTCGTCTCTTGTCTCGGCTAGGAAGACCTGGCTTTTCTTGCATGTAGTTGGTCGTTGGCGCGAGAAGCCGTGACGTTTGACGAAGCGATGGAGGAGCCGTTGGAGGGACTGTAGCCGGACCCAGGGCGATTTCGTTGAAGGTACAGTAGGACATGAGCCACTCTCGTTGGTTTCGTTTGATCCACGTAATTAGGTAATAAACGAAATTGACCTTAATCTAAATCTTCTTCTAAAATCATATAACTATCAAAATATTAGTAAGGTGGAGCGTTGAAAGGGCATGTTCGTCATCGCGTAACTTTGTCATGAATTCGACCAGTCCAGGAGGGTCGGGGAAGGATTCGTGGCACCTACGTGGCTCGTTTTTTGCCCCCTATTTACTTCCATCGTAAGCCAGTAGTTCGTATCGTTGATTGTACCAGTTTCGAATTGTTCGGCGGGGTACCCCCAGAAGTGCAGCAACCTTGTAATCGGACATGGACTCGAGGAGCCCCACAGCCTCGAGCTTCTTCGATATCGGATACGTGACTCGAGTCATTTTATTTACTGCCTAAATTTTGGCTGACTATTTTTTGAATTGAAAAGGGACGGGAAAAAAAATACTTTTGTAGCCAATTGCAAGCAAGAATTTCTAAAATGTTCTTGGTTGGACAAAATTTATTTGAAAATTCGATTGGCCTTGCATTCCGTCGTTCCCGTAAATAGCTCACGCGGTAGAGGTCCCGCTCGAAGCCCGTACACAGACGAAGTCTTGGCGCATGAGTCGACCGACGTATGGCTCTTTGTTCTTCGCCGCCAGCCACATAACAGCCCAGATCTAAATGTGTTAGGTCTGGGCTTGTTTTCGTCGATTCAAGCTCTACAATGCAACACGGTGAGTCGCACGATCGATGATGTAATTCAAGCGACCTCGGTTGCATCCGAATAACTAGAAGTCGAGAAGCTGCAGAATGTGCTCCTGACACACCAGGCTGTGATGAAACTTGTGCTGGTACATCATGGACAACAAATTTCGTTTACCTCCGATAGGAAAGGATGCTTTGCGGCGAGCTGGGACCTTCATGGCGAATATGTCCTGCGCTGCGGCGCTTGTGACCTGAGCTAACAACCGTGTAGTTTTAACCAATAACATGCATGTACTGTATGGTTAGCCAATCGGAATAAAATGTCATCACAAATTTGGAAAAAGTGCGATTCTTATATGTCGACAGTATTTTAGAACAGAGGTAGTATTGAAAAATACAGGTGGTACCACTCTGGTCCAGGAAAAGAGGTCGGTTTGACTTTCGATTGGCGGGATTTTGTAATATTGCATATCTTTTGAAACTAATTGGCTCACGAAAGAGCGCAGAGTCTCGTGTTTGATTGATTCTTTTGCGCGTGTTGTAGCTCCTTTTGGCTGGAAAGTTATGGTGGCGGGAAGTTGACGTCTTCTTGAGCTGCACACATATCGACCCGCTGAGGAGTCATAACTAAACTTGAGCCCTTGCGACCAATACAACCTTTGTTCTACACACAACAACTATGTCGACTACGCCAACGCCTGCTGCCCCCGGCGCCTCCATCCCCAACTACAACAAGCGGAAGCTGTCCAACGACGAGCGCCGGGCCATCTATGAGGAACTGTTGTCGCGCAGCAGCGACCTCATACTGCCACATGGTTCCTACACTGATGTCGCGCGGATGTTTAATTGCTACTGGCGCACTGTGGAG